ATTTTTTTTTATCTAAAACCAACGAAAATTGTTTTCCATATCTACGAAATCAAATATTGATTTATATATTTCGAGAAAAGATTCACACTCCGATTATCATATTTGTCTTAAAATCAAAACACTTTATAATAAGAATAATATATATGGTCAACAAACTTACAATTTAGTCTTTTATTATTATTATCATTTTTATTTGAATGCAAGTCAATTTTCTTTAAAAAAGTTAAAATTCTTTTTCATCTCCATATATATAAAATATTATTTATAGTAAAGTAATAGTAGGTTTTTTTTTGTTTTAGTTAAAATTATGTAAATTTATACTGACGAATGATTTAGAAAATTATGGTAATTTATTTTAAAAAAAATAACATGGTTATAGTTATGTTGAAATTCGAATAATTTACACTTTTCGTTGAAGATGTTATGAAAAACTTTTAACACATTAAAACGATTAAAAAATGGTATTTTTTTTTAAAGCTAAATACAGTAAAACCCTTATACTTGATGGCAAAGTATATAGCGAAAAATATTCATTTGATTATTTATTTAAATTTGTTTATCGCTGTTCTTTCTATTCTTTAAGTTATTACATAAAAAAATTTAAAAATAACAGCTAAACAAATAAAGACGGTCTTTTTTTCAACCACAAATAAATAATACATATTTATAGACATATATGTACATGGGAAATATTTAAATTTTCTAAAGTTTATTTAAAATTAATAACAAATATATATGCATAAAAATGTTAATTGTAGGGCCAATTAGTTTCGAAGTCATTGTTTTGTAACTAATAGTAAGATTAATCAATAAAAAATTGTTTTTTTTATTTAAAAATTCATTTTAAATTAAAATAATATAAGAATTTTTTAAATATAAAATTCATTTTAAATTAAAATAATAGATGATTTTTTTAAATATAAAATTCATTCAAAAATAAATAATTAAAGGTTGAATGTAATAAAGTGAAGATTATAAAATAAAATTTATAATATCTAGATGGCGTTATTTTTATTAGCAATTATTTCTATTATTAATTTTAAATAATGTTTGACAATTTTTTATATAAATATAAATATTCAGTCTTATAATATTTTAATAAATGAAGAAGCGATTTAAAAAATTTGCTGATATTAAATATTGTTTGTATTATGAGTTGATAATCTAAACCTCTATTCCTTATTATAATTAACATGTATAAAGTGTAAACTAAAATAATGAATTAAACAAATACTAAATTCCCATTAAAATAAGTATGTATAAGGGTAAACTAAAATTTTTTAAGATAGCATAGATTTTCTGACTTAATAATCAGTTTATATATTTATATATAAACCTATTCTTTTACATAATAAATATATAATCAACAAAAAGTTATTAACATATTTGTGGCGGAATCTTTAACCGTTTTTATATATTATAAAATGAAATTAAAAAATAATATTTATAAAAATTATCTATTTTTTATATAGGAACAATATTATAATATGATTTATTAACTTATTATAAAAGATCATAAAAATAAAAGATAAAAAATTCTCCTAATAATTTTTTAAAAAATTATGAAAAATTCATGCCCACCCCCCCCCCCCCTTATCTTCAGGGAAAAAAATTTATTTTCATATTTACGTGATATGCGAAAAGCGCATCACCCTCTATTAGCTACAGCAGAGGTACCCTAGGTGTTTTTCTCCATCTAATGATGCTAAGGAAAAATATCGGAAGCCCTTTAGACATTTAAGGGCAAGTCGCAAATACTACCTATTACTTAGTTATGAACTGATTAGAAAGGAATGGGTCAAGATAAAAGCTCACCCTATAAAGTTAGGACATTATAAATTGCACATATTTTTTTTTGATTATTCTAATTTTTATCTGTCTTCAATCAGGATAATCAGAAATTCTGAAGGGCTAAAATTAGGGACCTAAAATCGGATGTTCTGCAAATAGAACTCTGAGTATGTCTATGAGATGAGAGAAACGGGAACAGTAATTACGTAAATTATATATTACAAATATAATGGATAATGAAATATTTATCTAGCTTTTTTTAAACTGCAGTTTGTTTCAAACTTTATTTTTCCCGTTTATTTACTAGGGTATACAGGGTTGCCATGTCTACCACATTAATAAATAGACTATCACAATTTTTTAATAAATCTTCCACACTTTACCTCTACCATTTTTTTGAAATTTTCCGAAATCTACCACAAAATCTACTACATTTTAAATTTTTGTAAATTTTTATATTAAAATATGCATTAAACCCCATGAAATAAAATTTAAAATCAAGAAATTCCCTCTTTCTATTGGATACTCTCTTTTTAAATTTGATATTTTATATATCTACCAATAAAATATCCGGAGCTTATATAAATAACGGTTATCGGCCATATAAATTCATTTACATAAATTTCAAAATGAGGAAACAATCATCATTATAAGAAATGTAGTGTTAAAAAATGTCATTATTTGAAGTATCTATAAATATTTTACTTTTATTTGTTCAATAAATTATTGACTTGGCACTTATTAGCATTTACAATTTTTGCTATATATTTTATATTTGAATAATAAATCTATGATTAATTTTTATTATATTTTTTCTTTTTCTAGGCTGGTTCTATAACTTAAAAACAGCTCTCTAAAATATTGCATTTAAACAATAGAAGGAATGCAAAATATAGCTTATTTGAGTATGTATAGTTATATATAAATAAACATAATATAAATATGTCATAAATGGAAGTGGGACCTGGCCGAATGCCGAGAAAAAGCGAGCCTTACGACCGCGAAGATCACCATATAAAATAAAAATATTTATTACAATCATAAGATCTTGGCCTGGTATCCCTAATGGTATATATTTAGATTGTAAAAAACTTTGAAAATCAAATTTTAGAAATAATGTAACTCGTTGACAGCAAGAATATAAATAATGATCTTTTAGAGAATATACTCAGGTTTAGACGTAATAATTGGCTAATTATAAAGATTTTAGCATATAATGGTATATGTGATTTAGATTATAAAAAACACTTTAAAAATCATAGAAATAATTTAAACTCGTTGACATCACAAATATATATATATAATTTTGAGAGAATATATTCTGGTTTAAACTTAATATTATAAGGATTTTAGCATATCAATAATAGAATAAAAAATAAAATTAAAAGATTTTGCGGCAGAATTTTAAGAGACATAATTTTTTGGCCAGAATGATTACGGAATAAGAACGCAAAAATGTATATATTTCGGGCCCATGGTTAGAATAGAATAATCCTGAATAAATTAAAAATATTATTTTACCATTTTTCGCGGATATTTTATTATGTAACATATTTCTTACCTTTTTCTTTTTTTTAAATCTAAAAATAATAAATTTTTCGAATAATTAAAATTTTATCCATATGATTTAATTAAAATAATTATTCTAATTTCTTCTATTAAAATTTTAGCACAAATTATAATTTTTATTTCGGATTATCTTATCATTCCATTTTCCTATTCAAAAAAAAATATTAATGTCTCATTTTCACACAATAAAAAATTATCTGTGTAAAATTTATATTTTTATTCCAACTGAATGAATTCAGAATGCTACTTTTTCCTTATTCGTTGCAACCAAGAAAGCATTAAATAATTTTTGGAAAGGATTTTTTCTCTAATGGTTTTTAGTTGTTAATAATACTTTTTTAAAACAGATTATAGAATTTTATAGAAAATTTTAATTAAAGCGAATTTTTTTTTTAGATTAAAAAATTCCTAGTCAAAGTTTTATGTAGCAATTGTGAATTTGAAAATTCAGGATTTAATTATTTTATTGCTCATAAAAAACTATAACGATATTTATTATGAATATTTCTTATAACTAGCAAAGATTATAAGGCTCGTTTTAGATTATGACAATTTCTAAAGTGTTATTGTGAATAAGTTTAAAAAACAATATGACAATTCAATCCGTGAATGAATTTTGGAGTGCCGATATCATATCCTTTATTATTTATTTCGAAATAATTGATTAATATCTCAAAGGGTAGCTGATAAAATATTTGCATCGTAGTAGAAGACTCCATATGTAAGGATCGTAAGATTCTTTTTAGATCATTGCTGACTGTCCGGCTCATTAAAAAAAATCTCTGGACTTACCCTATTCATAAATTGTTTGTTTTGTGACGAAAATAATCATTTTGGGAAATCTCGGCCCTTAAAAATATTTAGCTTATGCCGTATTTAATATATAGGTAAAGAAAATTTCAATTATAAATGATTGGAAAGGAAGTTAATAAGTAGTAATAAAACTATATTTTTTTTTAACCTTACAGGTCATAACTTTTATTGATTTTTTATTTATCTTGAGAAACCCAGTTTTATTTCAGTTCATACAAGCCCACATCTCAATAGATTCACTGCTTATTTTTTGTTCCCTTAACCATGCAATTCTAGTTATATTTTTCAAATAATATTCTTATTTTCGTTGGAATCAGCATTCATATTTATTTTATTATTAAGGATGACTTTATTATTTGTCTTTGCACTATTTGACTCTCCAACAATTTTAATCTATAGTATTGTTTATGATTCGATGTATACATACGAATTTGAGTGATTTATCACCCTGCTATTCTTAATTAGATTTTAGCAAATATCACGTCACGATAAATTAAAAATAAAATATTGTCTGAAAATTGTTTTACAATTTTTTAACATTAATGCTTTTTTAAATAAGTGTACAATAAATTATTTTTTCAATAAACAATAGACATCATTTTGTATTTTTTTTTCTTCTGTTTAGAAATAGTATTCTGAAATCAAGATATTGGTATCAAAATTTGTTTCAGTTTAAATATGTTCCCCCTTCTTCAAAATATTACTATTAACTCTCGAAAGGTTAGGTGATGAAAAAATTAGTTGGGATATAGCTGATCCCATTAAAAACTGTTATATTCAAATTTTTTATTGCATTGATGTTTTATTTCATACTTAAATCCACCAAGATTATATCCATCCCAGAACCTTTCAGTATCTTCAGATCTGTTGGGAAACGTCCAGATGGTATAAACCAAATTTCTTGGAATAGAGTTCAATTCTTAATTTAGGATTATTCCTGTATTGATCCCTTAGCCCCTACATACATTTATACAAACGTATTTGATCTCGAATAGCTATAGAATATAAATCTATATTCTGAAATATCCGAAAAGCATAATTCATGCCAATAATCTCCTCTATATTAGCTACATTTGCTGGCCGCGTTTTATCTTTCTTCAAAGAACTCAATTCACATATTCACAAAAATACCGATGAATCCAGAGAATGTTTTTACCTTGAACAAAGGCTTTCCTTTGGCACACACAAATCGAATTACATCAGCTAAGGAGCCAAATTAACCTTAATAGTCCTTTTTACATAATATTAGTTCCTTTTTTTTCAAATTTTTTTATGTATATAACTATAATATACTATCATTTTTATTTTTATATTATAACATGTTTTGATTCTAAAAATAATTAAACCGTTCAATTAATAATTTTTTAATTTATTTTAAAAGAATTGTATACACGAATGATTTTGTATCTTAAAATTAAAAACCATTTAATAAAAATTGAAATATAGTTTAGCACTAAATAGAAGGATAAAAACAATCGGGTCACAAAGTATAGAGTTCTGATACAGACCCCGCAAAATATTTCGATGGTTAACAGATAGGCAATATCGGATGAGTTTTGGTTTTAAATTTATTTCTCAACATTTAATTGCTTTTCGGAGAATAATTGTTCAAATTTCCCTACTCCAAGACAAAAGTTAAGTATAGCCTGGCTAATAGGGCATTAATGATTATTCTATGTTAAATCAAAAGAAGTTAAAAAATTCTTTGAAATACGATTGTTTAATGCTTGATTTCTCTTTTCATTCCATTAAATACATTTTCGATTTAGTCATTTCATATTTTGCTGCATTCTGGTAAAAGTATTATTTAAAAAAAAATGATTACGATATTTTTATGATCACTTATTTTATATAGTTATTTGAAATTCAATTGTACCGAGTTATATAATAATCAATAATGAAAATTTAAAACATTTTATACTTTTGTAGTTTAAAATTTATTTTATTTGATATCTTTTGGGAATAATAAGAATTATATATAATTAGCAGAAATTAAAGAATTTATTTTTATATGTCTGAATTTTCAGAAATTGGATGTGACAATTCGCTCTACTGTTTATAAATATTTAAGGATTATTTTAATATATTGCGTATTAAATGTGTTTTAATGATTATGCAATCATTAACAAATATAACTAAGATATAACTATAACAGCTATTCTTTTTGATATCTAGCAAAGCTATTTTTAGCAAGTAACTTGTAATCAGATATATTATCCTTATTTTTGGATTTAGCTAAACTACGTTTTTTTTCTAAAGAAGCTTGTAGCTTATTTAAAAAAAATTAAATTCGATGCTTGTAGTCAAGATATAAATATATGTATGTCCATCCTTTCTGCATCTAATATATGTGGTAAGTATATCTGGAATTAAAATTTATCTGGGGCCCTCCCTTGGCAATTCGGAATCTCTTTATTTATTTTTAAATGTTAAAAATCTGATTTTACCTGAAATACATTCCAGCATGAGCCGAGCATACGAATTCCGGGGAAAAAAAAATTGCAGAAAAAAATTATTTTGAAAATAAATTAAAGAAAAAAAAATAATAATGTCTGAAAAAAGGAAAAAAACCTACAAATAAAAATTTGAGCGAAAAAAATTTTAAAAGAAAAAAAAACTTTAAAAAAATTTCGGAAATAGGAAATGATAATAAATTTTCATATTAAAGGTTTAAATAAAATGGAAAAATTCCGGTTCGGCCCAATAATATTTTGAACAAGCTGCCCGACTCGGCTCAAATTTTTTAACCCGATCCGCAGGCTTGGAGATAATATTCATATCTTCCATATTGGGATTTGAATACCTTTCTCTGAGATGTTTTAGCAATTTGTCAGTGCGTTATTCAGTAGGTTTAACTCTCAAGAATAGCTTTTTTTTGAATAGAGGAGATCGGGGTTATAAGGTAGGTATTTTATTTATACGCTATTTGTTTATAATCACAGGGAAAAAGATGAAGTTTTTTGATTTTATTTTTTGAAATATTTTTAAAATATAAATTAAAACGCATTTTATTTGTAAAGTTAAATTTTAAATAAAATCGCTAATTGCTTTGACCTAATTGCTTTAACCTATTTCTAAAGAAATTCTAATTATTTATTTTAAGTCTATTTTATATTTCTTAAATTTTTTTAAATATATTTTTTAACGGTACTGACCGTTTTTAAAATAATTACATAAGCCCCAGCCAACCCCTATTTATATAATTTTTAAGCTCGGATCAAATCCCACCCAATTCGGAATGAATTGCTGAGCTCAACCGAGGTGATTAAATTTTTACCCTCAATCATAATGATGTATTGAATGTGGATATATACAATTAAAAAGATAAGAGTAATTCTTGGCCTTAAATATTATACTTAATTATAGTTGGGCAATGGCTAAATGTCGGCTATTTGGCTCAATCTACAGGAGCCTACCTAGGAAAATCCGTTAACATTAAGGCGTTTTAATTTATATTAGTTTCTTTCAAATTTGAGTTACTAATTAAGAAAAATTCCGAGGCCAAAGTGATAGTTTTCGACTAAAAACAGGGTTTAGCTTATTTTTTAATTTGCTAAAAAATTGGCCTAAACGACTAAAAATATAGTATTACCCAACTACAACCTTTTCTAGTGTTTATTTTATTTTGAAATATATACAGATTTTTATCACCGTAAAATTTTATTCCTACAATTTTTTTGATCGTTTTTTTCAGGTTTTTTTCTTACCAGCCTACCTACGCAATTTTTATATGAAAAATCTATAATAAAAATATACAATTTGATCGGTTCACAAATTGAGGAAAAATTCTTTGAAATTCACAGGATAGGGTTCTTCTATACATGATGGATAAAATTTAAAAATCAACCTTAGGAAATAATTTTAAATTGATAATCTTTATTATTTCTGAAAGACTTATCACAAATATACACTTTGTCACATTCTGGATAGCAAAGTTTTTATGTGTTAAAGAATTTTTATGTGTAACCGCTTACAAGTTTCTACTTTATCCATTTTATTTAAAAAAAAATTTAATTTTTTTATTTAGATCAAAATAAATTGGAAATGATTTTTTAAAATGGTTTTTATATTTTATAAATAATTAAATGCAAAACATAGTTTAAAAAAAATATTAAAAGATATAAACTATAAGTATATATAAATAATTTCTATCTTATAAGTTTTTATTTTTATTATAAATTTTTTTAGAAGATAATTTTTTTTTCCTTTCTTTTAGTTATTTTCAGAAAAACTCTGAATATATTTCGCATTTATATCAATGCAGTATTATAATATTCGATAATGCGCAATAAATCCATTGTCAATTCACCTAGTCACAGCAACAAAACCCATAAGAAAAAGAAAAATTTTTTAAATAAAGTTAAAGAATCAACATCGTCTCCTCTTAAAGAACTTAAAATTGTTAATGCTAATGAGGTCAACGCGGAAACGGAAGTTAAAAAAAATGGCATTACAAAAAAATTCTGCGCTGGTAAAAATAAGGTGCTATTTCGTAATACCCACGATTCATATCCTCGCAACAACATTATGGGTCATTATCCTAATTCGGCCATTCCCAACGTATTACGCAAAGGAGGGCGAAGGCATAGTTGGACCACCACTGAATCCAAGAGAATAATACACGATTTCGTCAAAAAAGACTACCTCTCATACTATGTCAAGGCATCGGATAATTTTAATCGTAGCAGAGTGATACTCAACGTAGGCGGATCGAAACACGAAGTACTTTGGAAAACGTTAGACAGGCTTCCCCATACCAGACTGGGTCGTCTTAGGCATTGCAACACCTTCGAAGAAATCCTTGAACTTTGCGACGATTTCGACAAGAAATCCAACGAATATTTTTTTGATCGACACCCCAGGAGTTTTGGTTCCATTCTCAATTTTTATCGAACCGGGAAGTTGCATTTGATAGACGAAATGTGCATTTTATCTTTCAGCGACGATCTAGACTATTGGGGTGTTGATGAGTTGTACCTGGAATCTTGCTGTCAACATAGGTATAATCATAGCAAAAAAAATTTATCAAAAGATTCTTTTATAATTTTTACAGTGGCTTCTAAAACTCCTAAATCATTGAGAATTTACCTCCTCCCCTAAATTTTCTCACATTTACCCTTCCTAACAGCATTACAATATTTTTTTAAAGATATTACCTTCATACAATTAATTAATTTTGTCTTTATTTAAGTCTACCCATTATTCTCTCGAAAATAAATATTTAAGCTAGAACATATCAAATAACTCAATTATTAGTCTATATGGTAATATAAAATTATTTTCAAGATCTATTTACGTTTGCATTAACTAACAATTATACTTAATAATGCTTTCATTATCAAAATAATCATAATCAATTAATAATACTGCTTTCAAAACTAGCTTGTAAAATTCACATAAGATTATATAGTAATGTTAATATAAATTTTTCAATAACTAAATTTTATGTGAATTTTACTCATTACATCTACCACTCCCCTCCTACCCACTCCGCTAAAGATCAAGGAATTTAATGGTAAAAATTTTTTTTTACCCCTTTGTGAATTTTATTATAGATCCTTCCCGTGGTAAAATCCATTGAAGTTGTAACTTTACAGCTTAACACATTTTCGCTTAAAAAAAAATTAAAATCAACCTTGGACATCGGTAAAATAAAGGATTTCATTTTTAAAAAATAGAAATTTAAAGATTGATGGAGATTAAGAATTGTTATCATTTATTTATAATCAAAAGGATCAAAATCTAATATTTTTTAGATATAGATCTACATAATTTTATTATTACAATATTATCGAATCTCCTTTCTAAATAAATGCCATAACATATCCCATATTTGTCACATGCTGAATTATTTTAATTCACATTATTTACAGTAGGAGATATATTTTATGTTAATAGGGGTCTGCAAAGTTTGGCCAGGGTAACGTCTGAAAATTTGGCTGGGCTGGGCAATAAATTAACGTGATGGGTCAGGCATTTTATTTACATTTAAAAACTTATTTGGTTTTTAATCTATAATAAAATATTGACAATTTCTAATATACAAATTCAAATATAAATGAATGATAAAATAATAAATGTATATAATCGGCGCATGAATTATGAATTCACTATAAAATAAATGTCTCGAAAAAAACTTTGTAAAAAAAATATATTTTTTTAAGCATCATTTAAAATTTGATATATAAATTTAAATGTATAACTATCATATGATATGTAAAATAAATATAGTTAGTAAACGATTACGAATTAGTAAAAATCATAATAACAAAAAGACAATATTGAACATAAGTAATTTGATGAGAAGAGATATGGTGTTTTTAATTTAACCCACTCCCCAATATTGTAAACTAGTTGTTTATTATGGTGTTCGACAACATAATGTTTCGGTTTAAACCTTGTATTTAAAAATTGGACCGACCAACCATACTAAAAAATTGAAACCAGGCCGGGTAAACACTAAATTCCCACCGGGTCGGACCTAAAAATTTTGCCATTTGCAGACATTTAATATGTTCGTTTTATATCTAAAATTTATTTTTATCAATTTGTGTTTACATTTACTTAACCCAATTTTTTAGTTTATTTTTTATTTTACAAGAAAATTAAATATTTCTATCATATTGTGATTGTTATTCAAAAGATAAGATTTACAAAAAAAACAATTAAGTTATTTCAATCGGGTTTCTGTAATTTACTAAAAAAAATATTTCATCGAATCGATTAATCATTATCTTTTTATACATATATATATATTTATATACTTAATGATATTGCAGCCAATCTTAATAATTATCTTGTATCTATAAACCCAAAAAAAATTTAGCAATTATATAATTATCAATATCTAAATTAATGATGATATGATGTAATTGTTTATTAAATTTTGATATCATATAATGTAATACATTTCTTGGCAAACTTCCGAATTAATGTTAAGAACAGTTATTTTTATAAAATTGAAATTAGATAATCCTGCGAGTGAATGAATGCTTAAATTCATTGGCACACTTGCTTATATTAACTATTAAATTATCTATCAATTAATAATTAAAGCCATAATCGAAGTTTTCCGGCTTGTAATAATTTTATATTTAAATCTTTCTTAAAGATACCATCAAAAAAAGGAGCACGTATTCGATGAAATACGTAAAGAATCAGAAAGTATTAAAGAACGCCAAGACGAATATTTTGGTAGTAATGTTTGTTCACCTTATCAAAAATGGACATGGGATCTCTTAGAAAAACCTGAATCTTCCAAAGCTGCCCATGTAATATTTTGATTTGAGCGATATTTATCAACGAAGGTGAAAATTAGAGAAAATTTTTTTTTTAGATTAAGTTGGGATTGAGGGGAAGGAAGGTAGCCATTATACACTGAAAATTTCAATAATCTTAAAATATCCATTTATGTATTATGTTTTTAACAGATATTAGTCATAATATCAATCGCGTTTATCGCTCTCTCAACTATCGCCTTAACATTGAATACTATTCCTAGTCTTCAACAACACGATGCTAAAGGTCACGTCAAGGACAATAACGCTTTAGCTATAGTGGAAGCAATATGCATATGTTGGTTTACGTTGGAATACGTTTTACGATTTTGGGCATCCCCCAACAAATGGAAATTTTTTAAATCTTGTCTCAATATAATCGATTTACTAGCTATCTTACCTTATTACGTTTCCCTCTTCCTGATAGAGTCTAACAAAAGTGTCGAACAGTTCCAGGATGTTAGGAGGATCGTACAGATTTTTAGAATAATGCGTATATTGCGTATCCTCAAACTCGCTAGGCATTCTACGGGACTCCAGTCCTTGGGGTTTACCCTGAAAAACAGTTACAAAGAATTAGGATTGCTCATGCTTTTCCTGGCCATAGGTATCCTAATGTTTTCTAGCTTGGCTTATTTTGCCGAAAAGGACGAGGTAGGAACCAAATTTAAGAGTATTCCTGAGACATTTTGGTGGGCCAGTATAACCATGACGACAGTAGGTTATGGAGATATTTATCCCACTACGGTGCTGGGGAAAATAGTCGGCAGTATATGTTGCATATGCGGCGTTCTGGTTATAGCCCTACCTATTCCGATCATAGTCAACAATTTTGCTGAATTTTACAAGAATCAGTTGCGCAGGGAAAAGGCTTTGAAAAGGAGGGAGGCCTTAGAGAACGCTCGTAAAACTGGTAGTATTCTATCATTCCATTCCGTGAATATGCGAGAAAATTTGGCAAAAAGTGCCGACTTGATTGATGTCATGGTCGACAGCGACCATAATCATGAACACAAAAACGATATTCGTAAAAATTCCAATATCCACAAGGCTTTGACTGACTACCCGGAAAAATATAACAAATCCGAATTAGATGTAACCATAAGTATAGAAGACAATATACAAAATCTCTCAGACTCAACTTTATTCTTGAATCAATCCAATCACTCTTCACGAAATTATGTTGATAGTAAGATGCAATATAATTTTTCTAATGACAATGGGAAACTTGATTTCGTCCCGATATTAAATAAAAATCCTACGAGGCATTTAAGTTTTATTACAAAAGTAAGAATATAAGCTGTAGAAACAAACTAAATTTAAAAATAAAATTTTATATTAGAAGTATTTGGAAAAGCCTAAACAAAATCATGCCCTTCCATATAGAAATACCCTTTCGTCACCGTGCGAATTAATCCCATTGCATATGAATGATGATTTCAACTTTAATATATAGATGTAAACTGTGATAAATGTAAAAAAATTTGAAGGTAATTTTTTAAATTTAATGCTTTGTTAAATACATTTGATAAGTCAAAAAATATAATGTTTTTGCTTTATACACTTATTAATTTAAGGTTATTTCGTGACATAAGTGTTAACATTGAATGAGATTTTGATAAAATTAAATGTTCTTATGCTGTTTTTTAAATGAATTTTCAAGTTATTAAAATACTAGGGTTTTTTAAAAGTATTTTATGATTTTACTGCAAAAATGAATCAGATTCTTTTAGTGTTGTTAAACTGCTCGATTTAACCAATTTTAAATTAAGATTTATGCCAAAACAATATTATACAAGTCTCGAAATTTCATTAATGATGTTACAACCTTTTGGTCATCTATGAGCAAATTCTCCAGGGTTTCATAATATTTTTTGAAACATTAGGTTCGCTATTTTTGAAAATTAAGCTTTAAAAACACTAAATTCCTAATTTCATCATTTTATTAATATAAGATAAAAAAAATTATTTTATACGTCAATTTTTATATTCTATTTATTATCAATATTGTACTAGAAGTGATGTTACACTCCAATATCCCAACACTTAACGAGCAACGGAAGCTATATTAATTCATCCTTTATTAATATTGGTCTAAATTGCAAGAATCTGTGATGTTGATATCATTATGTTTAAAAACAAATATACTTCTAATCATTACCTATATTAAATTATTAAATTAAATCAATTTTACATATTTGGCTAGTGCAATAATATAATATGTATTTAATATATTGTACACTATTATTATATTTATAAGTATTGGTAAATGCTCAAAAAAATTGTAATATATAAATATTTCATTAATATTATTTCATTTAAAAAAAAAATTTCAAATTCTACATTTTATAACGTGTAAAATCAATAGATTTGGTCAGGAATTGATATCATTTTATAATTATGGTATGCCATTGCATGGCCTTCGAATATTATTTTCAAATATAAACTCGTATTCTACTCATTTTCATAAGAACTTAAGTGAAAAAAAAATATTTCTAAAAAAAAGTTAAAAACCGAAGATAACCAAGATAATTTTATTTGCCATAATTCAAATTATATTAATTTTAAAATTTAATATGCTTCGAGCATTCTTAATATATTTTAAATAAATAAATTATTAGAAATTTTAAAATTAACATAAGCCTTCTATTTGATAATTATCAATAATTTTATACTGGCAAAAGTATGCAATTTTTTATAAAATTAATAAAGGTTTAACATCTAACATTATTATGCAAAACTATGTATTCTTCAAAGATTGTATTATCCTAAGCTGGCTAAAGTTTCGTAAGGGTTTGTGATTTAGATGGATTTTCTCCTGTAAATTTTATTGTGGGTGAGGGGTAGCAATAGGCTTACATTTTGCTGCCCTAAACCAGTCATTTTTTTTTGAAATTATTAGCTTATACTATTAAAAAATGTGTGAGATATTGTATTTTTTTGGAGGGGGCGTGGAGTGAAATATATTTAACATCACATGAGATTTTCAAATTTTAAAATTTCCTACACTAAATATTTTAAATTAAGAGTTCTCCTAATACGATATAATAATTTTATAAAAATTCTCTTTTTCAACGTATAACATGCTTTGAAAAATACAATTACATCAAACTAAGTCAATCTGCTTAATTAAATATAAAGGTCTTAACAACTACCTATAGTGGCTTCCAAAAAGATCCATTTTCGCCATTAACCTATAAGTTTTTTAAAAATCTTGGCACCAAAATTCAGCATTTTACAAACGAAAGCAAAGCCTGTTATGCGTTAAAAAATTCAAATGGAAATTTTTAGATATAATTATGGTTCCTTTTTGGGAACACAATTACGAAATTATACTTTTACGTTTTAAATATTATGATAAAAATTTTTAATAAATAATTATTATATATAAAATATAATAAGAATATACTACATATTAGTTAATTTTACAATCAAGGCATTTCCCCATATCCTTCTGTTTATTTAATTGCTCTAGTTTTCTTTTACGTAGTTGCGATATATCGAAATTGAATATATATTTGCTTATTTATATGTCTTTCCAAACGTCAAGATTGGTTTTCCCTCTATTTTAATTATCTAGACACCGGTTTAGAGATTCATTTTTTTCCCTCTCTCGAACATAGGAATTCGGTTTTCATGTATTTTAAAAGAATTTTTTTAATTTACCTATATTTCAGTAAAATTTGACGACTTAGATGACCATTCCAAAAGCTATTATCCAATATTTATAAAAAGTCAGGTTCGAAAATATTTGCATGACTTATTGGTTACATATGGTTATATATAAATATCTACCAGATTATTTTCTGATAAAGATAAAAAAAAATGATGAGGATTTGAAAGATTTTTTTAAAGAATATCTATTAAGCTTTTTTCAGAATAAGAATTATTCTTTAATTTTTAATAAATTCCCCCAATTAAAATTCTTATTTATTAAATATAATACAGCCCCCCATCTTCTGCGCCAATTGATGTTTAGCACGGCGAAAGATGTGTCTAACATTCTTGTTTATCTGATCAAAATTTTGAAAATCAATTGTTATTAAAAATATTATATAACTATCATATCTTTAATATATTATTTTGTATAATTTTATTTATATTATATATAGGAAATTTTTGTATACAATATTTAATTTTCCAAGTAACGAGTAACGCGTTACTTTTCTGAATAGCCAGTAATGCGTGTTCCTTTTTTGACAAGGTAACCAGTTTCATTTTTGAAGTAACGTTTACAACACTAAAATTTATAAATCAATTGCCTTTAACTATTAGCCGATGTATAATATAAAAACAATTTTTTTATAATATAGGAAATATTCCCTAAGGTTATTATGGATTTTAAGGCTAATGTCATATAACCTATGAAAACCTGTGTAATAAAATTAAGCAATGGTTAACACGAGAGAGTGGGGGATCAAAATTCGTAGAACAGAATAACGTACTTCGGAGAACCACAAGGAATAAAGAACCACCAGAACGATTTTATGAAATCATAAAATACATTCCAGCTTTTTTAAATTTTAAGCGTTGGTTTTTTAAATGATAAAGGACATGGTGGGATATTCAAGAATCTAAACGACAATTTATGGCATGTATTTTTACATATATTAAAGATTCAGAAGTATTGCAAATTAGCAGGATACCGTATGAAATATTCCATTCCCAGTTGCGGAAATATGTAATATCAGCAATTGTAATATGGCATTTATCTTTTATTTAAAATGAATTTCAAATTAATAAAATTGGGTTTCATGTTTGCTTTTTTTTTGTTTCTTACAAATTTTTAATATTTTTCGATATCACAAGTTTCGATTATCAATTGTTTTTTGATGATTTTTGTAATGAAATCATAGAATAAGGGGAAACAGAAATAGGTGTATTTCTATAACATATTTTTGCATTTTATTTTATAGAAAACCATTTTATTTATTCGCCGTAACAATCCTGTCCCATTTTTGCAAAATTTAAAATTAAGGACATATAAAAATAGATATATGAATGAAACGTGAGTCATTTTATTTTAATTAGCACATTTATTTATTTTTAATTAGAAAAATTTACCTTTTAGATAAAAATTACAACTGTGCAATGACATCCGGATTTGGATAAACTCCGAGTTCGATCCGACCGAACTTGGATAGATATTCTCTTTCTCGGCCATGTTGAAACCTAATTTAAAAAATTTTTATTTTGACCGGATTTGTAATTTTATTTGGATTTGAACCAATTTCACGGACTCGGAAAAATTTTAAATTATTTTGTCGTGATTCTAAAAATACATAAAAATATAATCAACCATTATAGTTACGTTTTAGGAACATTAATAAATAAAGGGTATACCCTCCCAATGTTACCCCGGTCTTCCTTATATTAATTATTATTAAAGATAAACGCACATCTTCCTAAACAGTTTTATAGTACACAATAACAATATTTTACAGGAAAACATATATACGATTAATTAAATTTGCGCTATTGTAAAATTCGGAGAGGGCTGAAAAGGATTTGCCCAACTAAAATCGTCGATTTTCTTCCAATCGCATCCATCAATAATTATCGAAGAGCATTTTAGTTGGTCCTTTAATTCTTCGTAATCCAGGTTGTAACGAGAAAATTCTAGCTAATTTATTTTTAAAATAATGTCATTGTAAATAAGATAGGTTATAGAGGTTTTTATTTATATTTACTTACCATCTTAAAGAGGGGAAAAAAATCATAAAAATATGATACCTATTTGATTCCTATGAGTTTTTTAGAAATATTTTATTCGCACATTTTTAATTTTTAAAGGATGCCTTAAATAGATTCGCCATAGTAGGTGAGACCGGGGATAGTTGTATCACGAGGGGTAATGATATATAGCATTGATTATCGTATAAAAATTTGCTAAACAACTACCAAATTTCATTAGAACCCATGTTTATTTAAATAATATAATATTCACGGAATAACACGGTAGTTTCCGGTATTTCATATACCATACCCAGTAGCACAAAATTACCTAGTTAGTTTAAGAATAAATCCCTATTCTTATCAGTGAACCCAGATCTATAAGGCAGGTAATATATGCAAACACCGACTAGCCCACAGACGCTCGAAAATAACAACTTTTTTTTGTATAAGGATAAATAACGAAGCTATCTTATATTTCATATCATAATATAAAAAATCAATAACGTTTAATGGGTAGGAATTTTCTTATCATAATTTTAGAGCTAATATAATTTTAAATTTAAACTATAAATGTGCAAAAAATATGCTCATGAAAAAATTTTTAATTTAACACCTCAAGAGTAACTTAAAATTTTTTTTTAAAAAAAACTCTAATTAAATATAGATTCTAAATAATAAAATAATCTCAATTTTATCACGTATAAAAATATGGATATTTACGCTAATTTAATAAACTAAAATTAATAATTTTTAATTAAATGATAAAATTTAAAAAAAAATTCAACTATATTTATAAAGAACACCAAAAGTCATATGGTGACAGACAGTATAAAGAAGGTTGATTTGTTTTTTGTAAATTATATAAGTTAAGTGACAACAAATCTTCTTGGCGAATATAAGTCTGATAAATTTAACATAGTAGGGAGACAGTGGATAGTGTTATCCCGGTGTAACGTGTGAAAGTGATTACCGTGAGATTTAGAATTCTCACACCATCAAAATCTCACGGCTGACACCGTGTGAAAGTGATTTCATGAGATTTTGATTTTTATCGCTTCAAATACATTGGGGGCCATTTAAATCATCAAAATCTCAAGGCTATTCAATATTTCAAAATCTCATGGATTTTTTCAAAATCTTATAGATATTTTTAAAATCTCGCATTATTAATTTAAATATACTTTTAAAACGTCAGATTTGAATGAGGCTGTCAAATTAAAAATATTTCTATATAATACAATTTAATTTGAAATTCTTTTTCATTATGAAGTAAATTTTTAACAATATATTTTTTATTTCAGGAATATTTTGGCTCAAATTATAATGATATATATGACTTCCTAAAATGTTCTAACACCGCCTTCAAGATTATAGAAAATCAATTATTCTATGGGGAAAGTAAATTTTAGATATGTCATGATTAATTTATTAAAATTAGCTATTATAAGTTTAATGCAATATATTATTTTTTAACATTGAAAAATGCACAGGCCATTGATTATTATCTTTTTTTTCATCTAAAATTAATTATAGCTGCAAATGTAAGTGTATATATGTAAGAACATTTGATAAAATTTTACATATAGGCATTATTAAATGCTATTTTACAACTAAAATTTAATTTAGATTATCACATAAAGATGAAAAGTAAATGTTAGATACTTTTATTATAATGTATATTGGGCTTATAAATGATTGCATAATTAATTTATTAAAGTTAGGTATTATAATATATACAACTAAAATTGTATGACAAAATTAAGTGCAGTTTATTATTCTAGCCATTGATTATATATATTTTTTCTGCATCACAAATATTATTATATATATAATTTAATGATATTTTAGAAGAAAGAAAAGTTATACTGACAGGAGATGAACAAAAAAAAATAATTAAAACAATACATGAGGGGGGTGTATCTACAGTTGCAGGTATTGCAATGGGAGCATCTGGGGATTAATAAAACTAATCAAATAATAGCTGAAAAGTAAAAATTTGCAATATTCTTTTAATTAATTTTTTTAAGCTTTTATTGGTTGGGGAGCAATAAAAGTGTTAGAGAGTTTATCAAATCCTGTGAGGTTTGTCAAAAATCAAGCAGTTGTTTTGATAAAACCTCAAATGTTTTGCACAATATTAAAGTTGTGCCAAAGTCTTGGTATCAAATTGGCATCGATTTAATCCAGATGCCAGAATCCAAGGAAAAATACAAATATATTTTATGTGCCATATGCTATTTTTCAAAATATTTAATGGCTATTCCTATTAAGGATAAAACAGCTAAATCTATTTTAAAAGCCTTAGTCATCATTGTCAACACCCACCAATGCTATGAAGTAATAAAATAAAAATACCAATTTTAACTGAATTTTATTATATTAATATATATTTTTTTAAATTTAATAAAACTAAAATATATATTTATTAAAGATTCAGATAAATGATCAAGGCAGGGAATTCTGTAACAATGTTTGTACAGAATTCCATAAATATTGTGGGATTGTCCAGAGAGTAACCTCAGCCTACCACCCACAAGCAAATGGTTTGGTTGAGCGAGTTAACAGAACAATCCAGAACCGAATAGCAAAATCGGTTTTGGATATCCCAACTGACTGGCCAGATGCTTTGGTAGTGGTGTGTGGCACCTACAATTCTTGCATACACTCTTCTACGGGATTTTCGCCCTAAGAACTGATGTATGGTCAGAAACCACGACGCCCTCTTACAGTAGAAATAATTTTTAATGTTATATTTTTAATTATTATTTAGTTACAAAACAAAATTGAGGATGTATTAGCCTTACCAGAGGTTATGGCAAAAATAACAATTAATCATTGTTTAAAAGAGTTAGAAATTAAAATGGCTCATCTTAAAAAAATAACGGAACTGGCTATACAAAATATTGATATAGCCCAGCTTAAACAAAAAAAGGATTACGAAAAAAGATCAAATGGTTCTAAATCTTTTATTTTGGGACAAAAGGTTCTTGCTTGGAACCATAAAAGGTTAGATAGGAAAGGGGGGAAAATGTTGAACCCCTGGATAGGGCCTTATTTGATCAATAAAATATTTGATAAGGGTAATAATTTTATATTATATTAATTATTACTGTATATCAAGGTGTATATGAATTAATAACCACAAATAATCTCATATTAAAAACAAAATATAATTTATCGAATTTAAAAGAATTTATTGTAAGAAACAATGAATATCCAGATGAAAATGGTAATAATTTTTAAAAAATTACATTTTTTATGAAGTAAAAAAAATATTTTTAGATACAAAAATTAATATTTAATAACTTTATAATTATTTTTACTGTTTTTATTATAATTAATGCATTGCCTTTAGATAGTAGTTCCCATGGCCTTTATGATGAAATTATTCCACTTGCTACAGAGTTTGTTGATCCAAAGTCTCCCAGAGGTATTGTATTTAGGATATATATTTGAATTATCTTTTGAATGATAATCTTATAATTATTTTTTGAATAATAGCCTTATAATTATTTTTAATGTTTTTATTATAATTAATGCATTGCCTTTAGATAGTAGTTCCAAAAATGGCCTTTATGATGAAATTATTCCACTTGCTACAAAGTTTGTTGATCCAAACTCTCCCAGAGGTATTGTATTTAGGATATATATTTGAATTATCTTTTGAATGATAATCTTATAATTATTTTTTGAATAATAACCTTATAATTATTTTTAATGTTTTTATCCCCCCATTTTTTATATAAATAAAATTATTATTAAATATTTTAATATTGTCACAAATATAAAATGGGTCATATCGGGCCCATACAAAATTATCATTATATTTTATACAAGTAAAAATAGCCGTATTTAACATTGTGGCCATCGCCCTGACTTCTGTGTCAGAGGCCCATATCTGCTGTGTCATTACATTATTTAAGACATAAGTTTTTATGTCTATTTTTTTGTTCGTGTCGTAAAGATAATTTTCAATTATCTTTCCCATCTCGGATGTTAGCATAGTTTGATTTATTTTTTAATTTATTACGTATACAGAATTGGATGATGATATTTTTAAATATCCCTAGATATTTTTCTCCTACAACAAAGATATGAAAAAAATATCATGCTAAAATATATGGTCTAAAGTTTCCCAAACGTTGTCGTGATGTAGACTATGGGAAACAACTTGGTGAACCCACCATCCTAGTGAAAATTGAAGGTGATGGGAATTGTTTTTATAGGTAAAACATATTAATATAAAATTTCATTTTATTCTACTTTATATAATTTAGGGCGATTAGTGTAGAGCTTACTGGAGCTCAAAATTCCCATGTTATTCTCAGGCAATGGTTGGCACAATTTATGCTAACATCAGAGATGGGAAAGGTAATTGAAAATTATCTTTACGACACGAACAAAAAAATAGACATAAAAACTTATGTCTTAGATAATGTAATGACACAGCAGATATGGGCTTCTGACACAGAAGTCAGGGCGATGGCCACAATGTTAAATACGGCTATTATTACTTATATAAAATATAATGATAATTTTGTATGGGCCCGATATGACCCATTTTATATTCGCGACAATATTAAAATATTTAATAATAATTTTATTTATATAAAAAATGGGGGGAGTCATTTTGAAAATGTTTTAGATTGCGATTTATCTTCCATCTAATCACTATTTATTATTTTTATTAAAAAAAAATTTTTTATATAAAAATATATAAATATATTTCATTCATATTATAATTTATCGCCTTATATATATATTTTATGAAAGTTGTAGTTTATAAATAATATTCAATTACATTCTGATATGCAATATATGATAATAATTATATTTTTCCATGATGTTTTTATTAAATTTAAAATTATGTATAAATATTTATATCAATAAAGTTCTTCGTCTATTTTCTTATACCAAATAAAGTTTTATCTAATATTTGTGACCCAA